CCGGGGGCACTGTCATCTACCTGAATGACTCGGTGTATGATGGGGCATTTGGGTACAGGTGAGGACTGGGGGGGCTTCCGCACGGGGTGGGTGCTGCGCTGGGCAGGAGGGGATGGTTGTGTTTCTTTCCTGCGTTTGCAGGCTGGCATGCTGATCCTCAGCAGAGCAAACACTTGGGGTGTCCCTGAAGCAGGGGACATGGCCAGCTCTGGGAGGCTGCACGTGGTGATGCGGACAGCATGATGGGGGCAGCACCCCCAGCCCTTCTTTTGAATTTATGCTAACTGCACCGCACCGTCAGCATCCTGCAGCCTTTTCCAGAAAGAACCTCAAGAAGCACAAAAAAAACCCCCTCCCAAATTTCCCAGGGGCTGCAAGGAGCTGCTGGGGGGGGAATTCCAGGCACTGGCAGGTTTGTGAGGTTGGCTAGAGTCACACTCCCTTTCTCCCCATCACACATGCCAGCATGACGGAGGGCCTGGGCCAGCTGACGGACGGGGTGTCGGGGCTGGACGACTTCACGCAGACGCACGAGTACCACGTCTGGCCGGGCTACGACTACGTGGGCTGGCGCAATGAGAGCACCACTGGTGGCTACGTGGAGATCACCTTCGAGTTCGACCGCATCAGGAACTTCACCGCCATGAAGGTCCGCGTGCCCCCCGTCCTGCCCCCCGTGCCCGTCCGCTGCCATGGCCGCGCTGACGGGCTGCCCCACAGGTCCACTGCAACAACATGTTCGCCAAAGGGGTGAAGATCTTCAAGGAGGTGCAGTGCTACTTCCGTGCTGACGCCAGCGAGTGGGAGCCCAGCGCCGTCTCCTCAGTGCTGGTGCTGGATGACGTGAACCCCAGCGCCCGCTTCGTCACCGTGCCCCTGCTCCACCGCATGGCCAGCGCCATCAAGTGCCAGTACTACTTTGCCGATGCCTGGATGATGTTCAGCGAGATCACCTTCCAGTCGGGTACCTGTGGCCATGAGCCCCACAGGGACCAGACCCTCCTGGAGAGGGGGTTTGAGGAGGGAGCCGGGCTGTGGGGCACCCATGCCCCCCACCTTGATCCTCTCCTCTTCTCCCTTGCCAGATGCTGCCATGTACAACAACTCAGTGGCCCCCCCGGAGGTGCCTGTGGTCCCCACCACTTATGGTAAGGCATCAAAAACGCACATCGCCCTGAGCTGGGCAGGGGTCGGGGTCACCTCCCTGTGGGGTGATGCTCTGGGGGGCTCTGCCCCATCCAATGGAGGAAAAGGGCATGGGCTCTCCCCTTGCCCTGGCGTGACCAATTCTTGGTGTCCCTTCCTCCTGCCAGACCCCACACTCAAGGTAGACGACAGCAATACGCGCATCCTGATCGGGTGCCTGGTGGCAATCATCTTCATCCTGGTGGCCATCATCATCATCATACTGTGGCGGCAGTTCTGGCAGAAGATGCTGGAGAAGGTGGGCAAGGGTGGGGTGGCTGGCGAGGTGCCCCAGGGCACTGGCCTTGTCCCAGGTAGGTTCTCCTGGGAGCCCAGCAGGGGGAAAGCAGAGTCTGTGGGAGCTGATGCTCCCTTCCCCTCCTTGGGAAGGTTGTGATTTGCACCCATCTCCCAAGCAAAGGGATTTAGTTGAGCAGGGCGATGACTTTAGGATCTGCCTGCTTGTCCATCCCTCTGTCCCAAAGCTGGGCAGGGGAAGTGGAGCCAGAGGGGATCTCACTGCAGCCCTCGTCTAGCTGACGGCAGTCACAGAGGTGCTGGAGCCAAACTCTTCTCCATAGAGGCAGAAAATAGAAGCAGGGGGCATGAAGACAAATGTCTTCCCCAGGCAGGTGCTGCAGCCCTGGCACAGCCTGGAGCCCCTGGGGGGCTTGGGGCTGGGCACGGCCACAGTGCCATGGAGCACAGGAGACCCCGTCCCACTGGTGTTGTGGACACCCCATGTCCTAGCTCTCTCCTCCCTTGCCTCCGACTCGCAGGCATCACGGAGGATGCTGGATGATGAAATGACCGTCAGCCTCTCCCTGCCCAGCGAATCCAGCATGTTCAACCACAACCACTCCTCCTCCTCCAGTGAGCAGGAGTCCAGCTCTACCTACGACCACATATTCCCCCTGGGACCTGACTACCAGGAGCCCTCCCGCCTGATCCGCAAGCTGCCTGAGTTCACCCCAGGGGAGGAGGACACGGGTGAGAGCCAGGACACCCTCTGTGCTGAGACCCAGCCACCTTGCACCGAGCCCAATGTAGCCCCAGCCCCAGCTTTTGGTCAAGCTCCAAACATTTTGGCACGGGGAGGCGGTGGGGGGAGGATGTTGCATGAGCTCCTGTGCATCCCGCTCGAAGGTCACACAAAGCCCGTGACCGAGAGAGATCACCGGTGTCCATGCTGGACTGAGCTGTGTCCCCACTACCATCCTTGGGATGCTCCAGCATCTCTTCCATGGTGATCTGGAGGTCAGGCACCGATCCCTGCTCATCTGGCACTTGGGGCTGCGTCGGTGCATTTGTCAGTGATGGGGAAGGAGAACAGCAGCCTGCGGTGTCTGCAGGAGCCCAGCCATGCCAGGGCAGCACAGGGGCTCAGGGGAGGATGAGGACAGGGAAGCCGTGACTGGAGCTCCGGTGCAGGGAGCGGAGGGTGCAGGGGAGTACACCCACGGCAGGGCCGGCCCCGCTGTCTCCCCCACAGGCTGCAGCGGCCCCGTGAAGCTGTCGCAGGCCAGTGTCCCTGAGGGTGTCCCCCACTACGCCGAGGCTGACATCGTGAACCTGCAGGGCGTGACGGGGAGCAACACCTACTCGGTGCCAGCCCTCACCATGGACCTGCTCTCGGGCAAGGACGTCGCCGTCGAGGAGTTCCCCAGGAAGCTGCTGACCTTCAAGGAGAAGCTGGGGGAAGGCCAGTTTGGGGAGGTGAGTGGGAGCTGGACCTGCTCTGAGCAGGGCTTGGGTAAGGCTCTTCCTGGTTCGCATGGGCCAGGGGAGGCCGTCAGTCGGCGGAGGTAAGGGCTGCCCATTGCCCCCCTCCAGGTTCACCTCTGTGAAGTGGAGGGCATGGAGAAGTTCACGGGCAAGGACTTTGCCCTGGAGGGCTTGGACGCCAGCTCCAACTGCCCCGTGCTGGTGGCTGTGAAGATGCTGCGAGCAGATGCCAACAAGAATGCCAGGTATGGGACCACGGGGTCCACGCACCCTGGCATTGCTCCCCCCCATGCAGAGCCCCCCCAGGAGAGCCGGGATGCTTCAAAAGCATCCCCTGCCTCCAGCGGGCAGGCGCTCTGTGCAGCCGTGAGGACCACATGTCTGAGCCATCTGGAGATGCTGGGCTGCCGCGATTCAGGACTCTTGGTCCTAGCTGGCCCTAACCAGCTCCCCAGCACCCCATCTACCAGCCGAGTCCAGCTGTGTGCGGATCAGCCCCAAGCTCCCCTTCATGGCCTCCAGTCCCAGGGGAAGGGACCCACGGGTCCCTGGAGACTCGGGTGGGTGGGTGGCACACTCAGCTGGTCTGTGCACACCTCTGTGCCTCTCCGGGTCTGTCTATCCGATCCATGTGGTTTCTGTTCCGGAAAGGAATGATTTTCTGAAGGAAATCAAGATCATGTCGCGACTGAAGGACCCCAACATCATCCGGCTGCTGGCGGTGTGCATCGCGGATGACCCGCTGTGCATGATCACCGAGTACATGGAGAACGGAGACCTCAACCAGTTCCTGTCCCGCCAGCAGACAGGCAGCCCCCCCGACGGTCATGCGCCCACCGTCAGGTAACGCCGCCCAGGATGGGCAGGGGCAGGCAGGGCTGCCTGCTCTAGGCACCCTGCCCGGCTGTGGGGTGCCCCACTCGGGGCCACGTACCCCCAGCTGCTGTCCTGCCCAGCCCCTCAGTCCTCCCTTGTCCCCCACCGGCAGCTACAGCGACCTGCGCTTCATGGCCACCCAGATCGCCTCTGGCATGAAGTACCTCTCCTCCCTCAACTTTGTGCACCGAGACCTGGCCACGCGCAACTGCCTGGTGGGGAAGCAGTACACCATCAAGATAGCCGACTTCGGCATGAGCAGGAATCTCTACAGCGGGGACTACTACCGCATCCAGGGGCGGGCAGTGCTCCCCATCCGCTGGATGTCCTGGGAGAGCATCCTGCTGGTACGCGAGGGGCTGG